TTTCAGTTTTTGCAGGAGATTTGCTCGACTGCTTATACTGATTATTTGCATGCATGATTGTGTCGCTAAACCATCAATTAGACTGACAAGGTTTTGAGATATTTACTGAATGAGCAACTGATAGAGAAACATACTGTAATCATCTGTGATGGATGAGGATACCAAGAAAACAACACCATTTAATGGTAATTATAAGTCAATTTGTTGACCGATTTCGTTAATGGTTTCATTAATTTTATCAGTCATATTACGTCATTGCCAAGTTATGACAATGCTTTATGACGATATCCTGAAACTATTAAATTTAACTAGTTATAGTGTTGATTGAGGATTAGTCAGTGGAAAAATAGGTATTGTTGCTTTAGGTGATTCGAAATCATCAGAAACTTATAACGTTAAAGAATCCGAGACGCCTAATTTAATTATAAATTTCAATTCAGAAATATTCGTTTAGTGTTAATTCTAGTAGGCTACGGAGTTTTGATTTTAAACGTTTGTTTAGCCAACAGCTACCTGGGGATTTAGTTATTTTACTAGTGCAGTTGATAGTACCTAAATTTTTAATCTTATTATCTAAACTATGTTCGCATTTTAGGCTGCTAATATGATAAACCAATCCATAAATCCAAATACGATTAGCAACAACGACTATGGTGGGTTTATTGATAAATGTTAAAGGCGATTCAGATGATTTCTAAATTTAGAAGACATGGAGATATAGTGTAACGTATGTATGGGCTAGGTTAACATGCAGGTTGTTGACGTATATGACGATTTAAAAATAATGAACATGACCAGAAAATAGTTTTAAAGTTTAGACTGCTTGTGAAGCTTCAGGCAGGAATATGATGCGTTATAAACATTCCATAAGGAGTTACTGCATTTAGCCTAGGGACACTTACGAATATATAGCAAAAGAAACCGGAAAACATATACATGTTAAGTAAAAAAATCATTAAGTAAAATAGTTGAACTCGCCTGGGTTATTTTTGAAAATTAGATTATTCAGTGGACGACTTATATAACGCCATTCGTGAGTAGTATTGATCCAAAAGCATCCAGAATAAATCATGCAGTATGGCAATTAATTCCAGAGTCCTTGATGCTGTTGAGGTTTTTGCCACTCGCTCAGATCAGAACAATCGAATGAACCCAGATAATTGTGTGGTTGTCATTGAACGAACCATCTAAAAATGACCTTATGATTGCAGAAAACTTATAGCTGGAACTCACCGTATGTTTTTGGAGAAGTGTCATCCTTGTTGTTTGGCAATGGAACTCGAGAATATGAAATTAGGCAGGCAGTGGTCGGAAGAAAAGATATTACAGGATAGTGCATCGTTTAAAACAGGATGAGGTGTTAAGTGAAGGGACACTGAGAATTAGATCCAGATAACTATTTAGTCCTTGATCGCATTGTTAGTCAATGTACATTTACGCTATTTACAGGTCATATTTGCTAGAGCTTGATGTTTAAACAAGACTATGTCGCTGAAGCATGTAAATGCTATTACAGCTTGTTAACAAACCATCAAAGCTAATTAGTTAATATAGACGACCAGTTTTTATTATCAATTGAGCTAGTTTGTCATGAGGACTAATCAATATAACATTACAATGATGCATGTGAGCATTAATCAGAGGACTATTAGAATACAGGGTTAACATAAATATAAAATCGATCGAGAAAGTTGAAGTGGAAATAAGGATTAATAATAATAGGTTGCGTTTCTTTAGTTGGGCTCACCAATGTAGAATTATGGTCTACTATGATATTAGTACTGCTCTAATAATAAACCTAATCCTAAACTTGTCGATTTGTCATGATATAACTGCCTAATCTATAAGATCTTACGTGGAAGTCACACCATCGACTACACCAACTCACTGTATCGTATCAATTACCAATACATGATGAGGAACAAGGTTAGGCTAGAGAAAGAACAATATATTTAATATGAATAGAAGATATAAAGTAACACTGAGATGGACCACGTCTGCATGGACGAACCATGCCACTCGATCAACTCCAGTCCATTTAATTCCTTGTTCGCGCCTTCTCCATTGTTAGGTATTTCTCCGCGTTAAATATTGAATATCTATTTTCTGAGTAGTCTCGTGTTCACAGCTTTGTGGATTGTGTGGCTATTGTCCAATGCCACTACAACTGTACTATACTTGTAAGATCATTAACGTACATTATAAAAAGTAAAGGACCTAAGACGGAACTTTGGGTTACTCCACTAAGTACTGGTCTCCAGATGAAGCACTTGGAATTTATTCTTACTTTTTGTCTACGAGCTACTAGGAAATCCTTAATCCAATTTAAAAGTGGTCCGGCAATACCAAGGTTTTCCAACTTTAATAGCAGTCTATTAGTTGGCACCTTGTCAAAGACCTTACTGAAATCTATGTAGAAAACATTCACTAAGTTTCCGTTGTCTAGCGCATTATTCCAGAACTCCCTTGCTATAAGGAGGTTCGTTGTACAAGACAGACCCTTTCTAAAACCATGTTGTTCTATGTTTAGCAAGTTATTGGTTTCCATAAATATCATTATGTTCCGTTTGACTATACTTTCCTATATTTTAACTACAACACTGGTGAGGCCTACAGGTCTGTAGTTCGAATGAACTTGTCTTGTTCCTGTTTTATGTGTGGGAGTGACGGTTGCATCCTTCCAGTCCATAGGTAACACACCTTGGTCAAGTGACATATTGAATATCACAGTCAGTGGGGCCGCGATATATTGGGCAATATGTCTCAACATTTCGGGATGTAGTTCATCTGGTCCTGTTGACTTTTCCATGTTTAGGGTGCTGACAGCCTTAAGCACATCGTATTGATCGAATTACGTGGTGAGCAGGTGGTTTGTTGACTCTTTATTTTGGTCTGGTTCTTTGTCTAGAGGAGATTCCTGAGTGAAAACTGCCCCAAAATAGTCAGCCATAGCCTCTGCTTTTTCCTGATATTCCTCTATCATTTCAGATTCACTTCCTGCTTTAATTAGGTTGGGAATCTAATGATGCATCCATGTTCTGTAGTTTATGTACGAGAAAATTCTCTTGGGCTGCTTGAGTGCAGATTGTGCCAACTGCGTTTCATATTTTCTTTGAGCTTCCCGAATTTTAGTTATACACTCGTTTCTTATCGATCTGTAGCGTTCCATCGTACCTGCTGTGCCAAGGCGGATGGCAACATCCCAGCATTTCTTCTTTTGTCTTAGTAAGCATGGAATATCCCGCTCTATCCAGGAATGTCCGTGCTTCTTTTTCTTTAGGACAGTCCAGGGTATGTATGGTTGAGTTACCCGAATGTATAACTGCCTGAATAGAGTCCATGCCTATTGTTCTGATGCCCTTGAGTCAATTTCCCAGTTCTCAGCCGATGCTGCGGAGTTAATTGCCTCTATATCTGCCTTCCATATGTTAGGACGGGCCGGCGCAACTGCCCAACCGAGGTTTCTAATAGTTTGCAGTCAAACGACGATATCGATGACCCTACTTCTAAGTTAACCCAGTTTATATATGGTGCATTAAAGTCGTCTACTACAAGGCTTTTACCGTTGTTACACCAGGACTTAAGATTACTTAGGAGAAAATCATCTGCTACACATTCTGGACTGCGTTAGCACACCTTTAAGTCTGTGGAGATCTTTCCCTTACCACCCAGAGTGGTTAAGGGATCGTTTTGCTCCGAACTTTCACAATTTGAAAACCCTTAAGAACGAGATGTCTTTCACCGTTCCGGCGACGCTCATATATTTCCACTTTTGCAGCTCGTCTCTTAATGCGATCAGCTAGGCTGAGACCCTCACGGATGCATATTCCGGATCCAATCAGTTTACTTAAGTTACCTGGAGTCAAGTTCCTATCTTCAAGCGTGAAAAATTTAACCTTCAAGAGTCAGTTCTTCTGAGGACTTTCAGAATCCTCCTCTTGTCCTATTATATAAAACTTACAAATACTAACTTCTAAAACTGTATCTGGGAATAGCTTGCTTATTAAGACACGAATTTCAGCGAAGGGATCTCTTTTCAACGAATTGATTATCAAGCTGTACAATCGTATATATATGAAAATTTTGTTTTCGTAAAAGTACTAATTCCGTGAGGAAATGTGAACACAGTTAATATAAAGGTTATAATACTAGATTACGTAATATGAATAATAACAATAACAATAGATTTAGTGATTATAATAAGATGATTCAAATGTTTTTGATATAATAATTAAAGGTCATAGAGGTGTACAAAAATAAACTGATATGATGAGTGTTCATGAATAAAACAATGAGAATATAAGACATAAGTAAAGGGGGGGATGCAGTAATATAATAATAATAATAACGATAATAGTAGGATAATCAAACTAATTAAGGCCAAGGTAACAATAGCGATAAGACGTACTTCTTTTGTACGCATAGTTCTGGTTTAAGTTCCTGGATGGCAAGAGCTTCGGCTATTTTTAAAAGTTGGATACGAAGAAATCTGGATAGATTTGAACGAATCATATAAACAACCTTTAAGTCAATTTGTGGATCTGTTGAATGGTTATAGTCGATTAGGTGTTCAAGTATAGAACTCCTAACTGCTTTCCTTTCACCCTTATAGAACCAGGCTGGGATATGTTATCGTATCCGAGTTGCTTATTAAGGACTAAATATGACTGAGGTCGTGTTCAAATCTAGCCCTTGGTTCCTTATCGAAAGATTCCCTTAACTTATGAAAAATGACTGACCTCTCAGAGAGATCTGTTTTGACACGCAGTGGAGTTTTCGTTTCTGATACCGTCTCCTTCAATGACTTGCTAACCAGCAGTGTTTTGCCCACAGCTTTTTTTTCTCACTTCTTTTGTATGCCGTAGAACCTAGATGTGTACACATCTTATGGTACCACTTTTTACACTCATCGCACCACACTCCTTCCTCAACGGGGAACAACCAGTTTGGTTGTCCACATTCATAAGTCTTACTAACCATTGTAATTTACTAAGGATTCTCTTATGACTTTGTCACACATCCACATGCCTACCTGGTGGTAAACGTGATCCAGTGCTACAGGTCAAGGAGGCTCGTTGATCAGTCTCCTTCAATTCCGTTCACAATCACTTGGAACACTTGAAGACCGGCTCAGCGATGTTTTGTCGCGCCTTATTCAAATCTCCCAAATCATTGTTTACGATTGGGTGTACTGTGATGGTACGTTGTGGTCTCTCTAATTTCTTCCTTAAGTCCTCATCTCACAAGTCTTGGAATTCAATATATGAATTCACTGTTAAAGATATCAATGGTGTGGATGTCTCCCTAGAGAAATACCGGTTTGTTCGATATTCTTGTTCTATATAGGATGATAATTATTCGTTGTTTAGTGGTCACGTTTGTCTAATTGTTAACGTCGCTTGTAAGTGAGGCGCAACGGACAAGAACTATCGCCAACTCCAGGAGATGCACACTCGACTGGTTGGCAAAGGCCTCCGTATATTAGCGTTCCCCTGCAACCAATTCGGCGGACAGGTATGTAACACTTAAACCAATGCTATTTGCAGGAACCCTGGGCGGAAGCGGAGATTAAGAAGTTTGTGACTGAAAAGTATGGCGTCCAATTCGATATGTTTTCCAAGATAAAAGTCAATGGGTCTGACGCTGATGATCTCTACAAATTTCTTAAAAGTAGACTACATGGTACCCTAACAAAGTAATTGTTTTTTTCTTTAATAATGTCGTAGTGATATTAAGTGGAACTTCTCTAAATTCCTTATAGATCGTCAAGGCCAACCGCTTAAAAGATATTCTCCTATAACTGCCCCAAATGTGAGTTGCTGAATTTTCAATATTTCTATATTGTTATCAGTTCTGGCTGTCTAAATAGATAGACGTAACTTAAGATAAATTGACAAAATCAACAATCCACCCAACGCACTACGATTTTTTCTTAATTGTCTAAGTATTTTGTTGTGTTGTTTCTTAAGTATGTAATTTTCAGTCACTTAATGGGTGCGTTAACTTCCTCCCGTAACCTATAGTTCTTGTAGATTTGAAGCTGCCATTAAGAAATTTTACTCATTTGAATATTTAGCAGGTTAGTGACCTCGCTGAACATTAGTTGTTTAGATGATTTCATCAATTCGTTTCCAAACTAGTCTCACCTCAATAGTGTTTATACGTCAAAGAAACCAACCTGGACACAGGATATTACCTCACAGCCGGTACATGTTGATAAAGTTACCGGTTAATTGTCATGAATGACAAAATGAAACACCAACTTTAGTTACTTGTTAGTTTTATGGTACGTGAAATATAGTCCATCGCTGCATAGTTACTTCAGTTATTGGTCATGTCAAACTTCATAAATGAAATTCGAGTTCAAGTTAACTATCTTACATTGCACTATATGACGTCATAGACCAAACGATTTTCTAACTCAGTTCTGAAGTTATGAAATAGTTATCTGTACCGAAGAAACTAGAACTTCAGGAACGAACCTTCGTGTCTTTACTGAGTAACCTTACTTCACAATATTGTCATTTCGGTTTTGTATGTCTTGGTCTCCAATGTGACAGTCATTTTCTTCAATAACACTATTGGGTTAATAGACGTCCACACTCGTAACTGTTTGGATTGAACTTAGTTAAATGCTACGTCTATACAACTAGTTCTCCTAAAGTTTGGTTTTTCTCAGAAAACTTGTATATCGCCTTGTAATGGTCTGCAAGCCTGTAATTAGTCGTACATCAGTGTACTACAAGCACTAGGTATGATAATTACGGTTTGCGTGGGAGCGTACAAAACTTCTATATGGCAGTCTTCATCTTTCCGTTTCCTGGTTTAGTGACACCGGTTAGCGCGTTTAGCACTTGGATGTGTAGCGGTTATTGAACCATGTATCAATCCAAGCACAGTTTGTGTCAAGCAATAGTGGAATCCTCGACTACTGCAGGGTTCAAGGGCTAGGAATATCTAATTTCCTCACACTACGTAATTCATATATATTGTAGATCTAACTTATTACAAGTGATTTTTTTCTATTCATTTACCTGCCCTGCGTCTGTTGGGGCAGACTTATTGATTGATATTGGCGAGATAATCGCAAGCTATGATTACGTGGAGTAACCCACTTCTTGTCTGGCATCCGTAAATGATCTTTCTTCGATCTCACCTTTTCTATTTGTAATACATTTTTAATGTACTGTACTTCACATAGCGTTGACTCTGTAGTTTGTAATACTGATATGGAGTGTGGGAAATTGAACTAGTGTATGTCCATACCATACAATTCCTTGATTTTGACCGTCTACCGTATTAGGTGGTTAGTCTCAGGTACGATGCTTAATGTCTAATAGTGACAAAATTCATGAAACTGTCACAGATTTATCGATAAGTAATCACCTTTTAGTTTTAGGATTTCTGACCGAACTTTTAATTTTTTGTAGGATATTGTAGGAGATATCATGGAGCTTTTGGAAAAGAAGTGATCAATGGAATTTTTGAGCTTTGAACAAATTCTCGCTATATGACGATGGCAATCTCAAATGTTCACTGATTGCCATTTGATGAAATCAGTTTTGTGTGCACCTGATTGCAGAATTTTGTTTACCTTGCTCATATTTTTCATTGAAACTACTCAGAATAAATGTGCTATCTATAATTGAATGACTTGTACTTCACTGGACTTACTTACGAGTTAACTGAAATACTTCTCATCGCACTTACCAAGCAATTCAATTTCAGAAGTAAACAATAGCGGTTGGGCTGTTAAAGAAGCCGGTGCATGTTTGCGTTGTTTTCTTCTAAGCCCTTATTATTAATAAGAAATATCAGCCCTGTGATATGACAAAGTAGTCTAGTCAATCTACCCATCTGATCTTAGTGTAAGCTCTTTTTCTGAATGGGTCTTTAAACTGGCCTAACAATCTAAGGGTTCGTGCAAAGTATCTGAGAGATATACTTCCGTTTGTAATGTTAGATGCGGATATCTGTCCTAACAATTGGTCTGAAACTTTATTTTGCTACTTTTATTTAACCGCATATCAAAAGACGTTGATTACAGCAAGAGAAATGAATTTCGAATATCACTAAGAACTCCATCGTCTAACTGTGCGTTGAAGGGCAGGCTACCCAAATATTGTCCGATTTAAGGCCGTGAACGTGATACGATCTTTGTACTATCAAAGTGGTTGTTATCGTTATTACAAAGAAGACAAAAGCCTGTATCTACACAGGTGTTAGTTTTGGGAATGGTGATATGACACAAAACCGACTTCGGGACGGCAAATGTTCAGGTTATATTAATTTACAGCACAGTTGTGGAGTCAGCGCCGTCGCCAAATTGAAGATTCTCGACAGCCATGTCCATTTATTGTTGTTTCTGAATGGCTGCTTGGATTCGACAGCATTGCAGTCCGAGCAACCAAATACCTGGGAACATGGTACTGCGCACTATTTGTGATGTTATTAGTCGGAACACTCGTGTCTCTGGATGGTGGGTGAATTAGTGCCGACGGTGACATGGGTGATAAGGTCGACCTGTGTATAGTGAATGTCATATGAGTTTGTGTCAACCTATGGCACCGGCGCCCTCATGATGTTAGTCTGGTTGTAAAATGTCGGGTTCAAAACATCGATGGGATCAGTCTCGATGTATGATTTTTAAGCCCGACCCCTCCGAGTCGGTGTTAGATAACTCTGTATGCGGTCATAGTTGTCTGATGGATTGCTGACACTCAGTAGCAATACCATGTCGGTGATGCGGAGGTTCGACGAAGTCTAACTGGGTACCCGGTTACATAATTCAGTTGGCGTCACCATGTGGAGGAAAAGCTTCCGATGGCTCGGACATGTACAACAAATGCTGAGGCTGAGACCTATTAGAAAAGCGGATATGGAGCCCGGCTATGAAAGAAAGCTGTATAAGACTGGCATCTGCTGATCCATCAGGACTTCCTGGTTGGGATTCCTGATGTGATACAACTCTGGCTTGAGGTGCTGTCAGACATGACAACCACTTCTGCTGATGAAGTCAATAGAAGTTATCAATGCACAACTATGGTTAAATTGGGCTATTACGTTCCCTGGACATCATTTATCAGCAGCACTTAATTCAAATAAGGCGACATTTCTAAAGGGTTCAAAACCACAGGTTGTTGTTTAGGTGTCAATGTCAAGGTTGGACTTGATAGTTTCAATTAAATACAGCATTGAGTAGAAAGTTAATAATAAATATGTTTTTTGTTATTTCCAAATGAGTAGAAAACTGTATTTCCGACGTTTTGTGACTCAATATTAATCCACTTCTTCAGAGTAAATAACCAACCGAGAAAAGATTAACACAACTCTAAATAATACAAAGGAAATAACCCCATGTACTGTTTAAACTTGTGTTAATTGCATTTCGGTTATTTATTTACTGTGAAGAAGTGGCTTACATTAGATCACGAAACGTCAAAAATACAATTCTCTACTCATTGGGATATTCACAAGAAATATACCTATTATCCAGAGGTTATTTTTTTGTTTGAGTAATTCTTTGTGTATTTTAGAGAATAATTTTCTTAGTTATTCTTGAACGTATTGATAATAAATTGAAGTACATATTATTTTATCTGCATGCTCCAATGACCTCGCCTTTTCATTGTGTAAAAAAAGAAAACAAACTAACTATGTGTACTTATATTTACAGAGTAAACACAAGTCTTAATTATTGATTTGTCAAGTATAAATATTATGTACTTTTTAATTAGATAAAACTATTTTTATGCACATTAATTGCTCTTATAATTTACATGTTAGAACACACGCACACACACACTGTCACTAATTATCTGCGTTATTTAATGCATTTTAACAAGTACAAAATATATTGAGATAAAATGAGATAATCATCATATTCATAATCAATCAATCCATAATCAAATTGTTGTTATGATCAGTCATTCAAAAAACAAAACAACTATACAAACCCGACAATATCATGTTGGTATATGTTTGTTAATAAATCTGAAAAAAAGACAGAAAAAAGAAGTATTTTGATGAAGATTGAATTTCATCTAGTATAAAATATTTATCATTATTAATTCACTTTACCAAGAATATGTTCTATGTACTTTATCATAAGCTACAATTTGTGCATGTGTTCACACATACAACAGGGTAGTAACACTTACTAACTGACTACTTAAACCATAGAGTCATTCAAATCCATGGCTTTTAATGATTAGAAGTTAGATTATTTAACCTTTAAGTCATTGATTTACTTGTAAATTCTAATCAAAGTAACGGTTTATTGTTTATATTAAATATTGTTTAAATCTATGTTGATTCAGCAATATACTAAGATTAGTAAACCAGGTATATTTCATGTGTTAAATGTGTCTTGATTGTGATAACTAGCACATGATTTTGAATTTCAAACATTTTAATATTCCTTGGTTAAATATATACTTGAAACAATGTGCATAGGTGATTAGATCACGTGGACACTAAGTTAGAAGATATCACAAAATTGACAAGCTTAGGAGTTCCTCAAACAGTAATGAGAGTTTCGTAATCATCATCAGATCAGATTAAAAAACAATAAGCACCAAATTAAGTAAAATTTTTCCACTTCTGAAAAATAGTTAATGCTGCTGGACTACTGTACATACCGTCCGCAGTTAGATTTTTAAGATTTATATCGAATCTCACAATATGAATTGGTGGTATTTTACAATAGACAAACAGTAGTATTTACAATCTTGTACAAATCTTGAGAATATGTGTTTCACATGAAACACTGATGGAAAAACGTGACTTTAATCGATAGTTAAGATCTATCATTTTGTTTCAATTGTCATAACGTCAATAATATCTATATTTACGCTAATTATGACTATAACAACATGATACAAACTGACTGCTGAAATTTATAATACAAATGAGCTGGGAGTATTTCAGGGCTTATGAACTATATAACTTTATTCCTCGATTGTTTATGGTCATTTATTTTCAGATGAGTAATATTAAGTTAAGTCATGGATGTTCTTAGCTACTCTACTAAATCAAAAACACTACGCATTTTCGCAATTCAAATACACATACACACCAAGAAATAACGACACTGATCAAGTGGCAACAGATGGATTATTTTTGCTTTGAGTTATGCGCAAATTCGTATAGATATTTGCAGATTTATACCAAGGACTGGCTTTATCTAAACAACCAATGAAAACAAGGGAACTAGGAACAACTATTTTGTCCTATTGTGGGACTCATCGACCGTATCTATCTTGTCTACCACCCCACTCACAACTATATCGGGTGTGAGACAGATATCACCAGTGAGAATGGGTGATGGCCATGCAATATCTCAAAATATGGATGTAAATTACGAAGTAGAAACTCAGTGGTTTGAACATTAAGCGATCGCTGCTAACCTTGACGATCACGGGTTCGCACCCCTGAGGGATCGCGGATACAAACTACTGGCGAGTCCCTTACCCTAACGAAATACCTTCCAACTGCTTCCTGGTTACCAATGGTCATCCAACTGAAGTCGGTTCATGACAAAAAATTAGAATTTTCAATGTTCTCTAAAACTCTTATACAATCGTGAACATTTAATTCACTAATATTAAAGATGATGTTATACGGTACAGGAATGGAGTCTGACTGATTGCCTAGTGACCATCAGTTTCATGTCGTTTTAGTTGAGTGTCGATCACAATAATAATAGTTTGAACTCCCCAATATGCATTTACATGATCGCTCAGTAATATTGTTTCAAAACTTATGCGGTGTAAATTTGATGATAAGTCAATTGTCCGGTCACCTCAGTTATATTTAGTAATAGTGGCAATCAACATAGTCGTTATGGCAGAAGACAGTGGCTTGAGAGTGTACGAGTAAAAGCAGGTTACATTGCATTTTAATTGTCAATTCCACTTGCATCTTTTACCTCTATTTCCTTCTCATCCGGTTCGTTTTGTGTACTACATCATGTTACTCACTAATATTCAGTAGCTAAAGGCATTTTCAATCAATTTTGTACATAAGAAGCATATTATCTCTTCGTTGTTGAGTTGAATTTATGGATATGTTACATAAACTTGTGACTTTCAGTCAACTTATTGTTACAATTGTGACAGTTACTTCGATTTCTTGTTTAGTCATCAAAAATTTGTTACGGCATGATAGTTTCAGTATTTTGTGCTATTAGTACTCGTTTCGATTGTTGGTTGCACTGTGGTATTGACAAAACTACTGGCTATCAAGTAGATTATCGTATGTTTTGGTAAATAATCCCCGTACAGCTATTCCAAGAACCTCTTCATCTCTGAATGCATATGCACGCGGTAAGCACCATAGAAACCTCATGTACTGAGGCTTGTAAATATATTTCTTATATTGTCATTATTAATACTACCGTATTTTACAAAAAGCTACTGTTTTCGTTTCGGGGTTTTGACACATCACTTAGTCGTTTGGTCGGAAACATCAAGCGAAATTAACCGTAATATTTTCGATTAAATAAAAATTGAGAACAGTTACGTCACATTAACTTCACTTACTGTTCTGAAAATGATCAAATAAATATTTCAAGTTATACAACGCATGCTTTTCTGGCGTCAGATATAAATTAAATCTTGAACCCAAAGACATGATGTTACGCTTTAGTATGCAAATTGCTTGGCTGTAAAAAGCAAGATGAGATTACAAGGGAATATTTTAATACAATAGTGAGTGTACGTGGTTGTTCCATATCTTAATTAAATCTACAAAGTTTAACTCTGTACATAGGCAAACAGTATTAATCGACATTACGAAAGTAATAGAGCAAGAATAAATGTTACTTCCACATAATTCTATGAAGGATTCGACAGAAAACTCGATCACTAGTTCCTTATCGCTCTGTAAACACTATGCCATTGAGTAACTAGGTCAAAATCCAATGGCCTACATAACCACTTTAAGTCAATCCTAAAGCGAGAAAGCCCAAACTTTATCCAATTTCATCGGTAGATTGTCGCCTTACTCTTAATCTGGTTGACTCGCGCGTGTACCATAGAAAGTACACAATGATAAGTTTTTCGATAGAACAATGAGAAGATCGAGTTGATCTGAGAAAGGCGATGTATTTGCACTATACATTTCGAACAGTCTGGTCACACATATACTTGTCAGAGCATTTTATATTATTATTATTAATATGCCTTGACAAGTATCTGTGTGACCAGATTGTTCGAAATGTATAGTGCAAATACATCGCCTTTCTCAGATCAACTCCGTCTTCTCATTGTTCTATCGAAATTTATAAAAGGGACCAATTGCTTTAGATAAGTTTTTCCTTTGAAACTATGATGAAGCGACTATCCAGTGCTCAATTGTTTATCATGGTTTCCTCAATAATGTTGCGTCATGATGGAGATCACTCTCGAACTAATCTTATGCTGTGTGTAATCAGTAATAAAAGGACAAGACAAACATGATATTAGTCACCAATCAATTGTTAGTATTTGAGTTCTATAGTGGAGTAGTTGCAACCCAAATAGCTTAGTGGCAACGTTTCGAACGATCAAGTTAGGTGACACTTGTTTGGATACCGAAGGAGGCATCAGTTCTTTCACGATTGGAGATCTACCATGTTGACGAGCACCAACTATCAGGAAACCTAGTTAGACGGTTTCCTGTCGACTATCTTCAACCACCTAACTTCTCGAAATAACATTTACTTATTAAAAGTACAATTGGTCCCATACTTAACAAGTCCTATATTTATTCTAAAATAATTCCTAAATACTACATTGTTCAAATACTAAAAATTTGTAATAAAAATAAAGTTAATACTTACCAACGATCTGATTGAGAAATATCACGAGTGGAAATATCCAACAGTTTTAACTTGAGATAAATTTCAACAAAATCTCTAGGATAAATTATTGGTTGGTCAAGAATTGCAGTGATCAAAGTAAACAAATGCATGGTATAAGCAAAGCATGTGGGCGATGTAAATGTTTCAATTCCATAGTTTATATAATGAATTGGATTATTATTATTATTATTAGACAATTCTATGCCATCCAATGGAACTGAAAAAGGCTCATTTATATGAACGTAATCATTGGAAAACTTATCCATGAATTTATCATTCTTTGCTGTTACTGAATTCTGGAACACAGTAAAACACAGATCAGAAACAAATTAATCGCTGATTGGGACATTTACTTTATCCATTTATCAAATATCAACTAACAATAATTGACTAGTAAGGACTGTGCAATTGGAAGACTATATTGTGCCAGAAACTAATAATTAAAAGTCAAGCAACACAAATCTTGATCTTTGATTTTATACAATTGATTTTAAATTTAACAATAGTTAAATAATAAATCCATTAGAAATTGGATATTTATGTTTTGTCATTTTGTTTCCAATATTTGTCGCCCTTTGTAAATATCATTTAAAATTTATGTGGAAAGAGAACAGTATGATATAACTTTTTGTTTAGGAAAAAGGTACTAAAACTCCCTTTACTAGTGAGTACACCAAGTTGGTACACTAAAATTTTAAACAAATGTGCTTTCAATTGATTGGTCGCTGAGTATTAATAAATGTGATGTTTATCTAGTCGTTGTAGTGATCAGTACTCAATGATCAATCAGTTGTAACTATTTTAGTCCCACTGGAGGTCAGTCGCAGTCCAAATGACTCAGTAGTAACATCTCAGATCATGAAGCCGAGTGACATGTGATTGGATCATCAAGAGAGTATTAATTCCATCAAGATCGCAGACACACATTGCTGAAGAGTGCCGAAAAGCACGAAATCCAGGTCTAGGATATCCTAACGACTGTATCCAACCACTTAACAAGTATATACTTTGTAAATATACGCATTAATGTACATATATATTCTTTTATTCCAAGACTTCGTGATTATTGGGTTTCGTTAGGACGGAATATAAATGCAAGACTACTTTTCAGGTTAGTGTGAATTTTGTTCAGTATGAAGTTCGTTTTATTTCACTGTAAGATTTTGTTCAACATATTATTCAATTTATAACAGTTTAGGAAGTATGCATTAGTAGTACGATCTTTCCGAGCAACAGTAATACTACTAGCTAAAAAATACTTTTCTTATCTAATAAAATAAAATATTCATATGCTGTTTTATCCCGATAAGAATAATGAATAGTAATTTTTGGGATCCATTTGTAGTGACCTGCTTTTACCAAGAGAACGCGATTGATTTAATTGAAACAATTATTATTATAACCAATTGTACCAGTGATTGTTTTACTGTGCTCGTTTGTTTAACTGTGCTAAAGACAGCCATATTACTACTCCATTGATTGCGACCTTGCACGGGTTCGGTTACGCTCGGTAACCACGCTTGTACTCCTTTGGCACGATCTCGGTATCCTTTCAATACCACGAGATCGCCAACAAATACATCTTGACTACAGCCATCAACTGCCTTCTGATATTTGGCTTACGGGGGATCCTATCAGTTAACTGGCACGTAGTCTTCTTGTAGTGGTGTTCATAGTCAACCGCGACTCGACTCCACGTTTCACATTTATGGGCCAATACTATGAGTATATTTTAATCGTGTAATTGTTATGTAACCAAACTGTTCATATTCATGACCCTCTTATTATGAGTTTTATTTCGACCTATGAACTGTTGTTATACGATTTACCATTCTTGAGTTATGGCCTGTCTGTTAATCACCACCTCCCTCATTTACAGCCACTTCTGGCTAAATATTGTACAAATGTTATTTTCTATTTTATGGTACGTTGTGGTCTGTTTGATTGGTGTATAAACCCTGTATGTTTGAAATAAATGATTTATATTGCAAAAGTTGAGATTTTTGTTCTGTACTCAACTGGCTGGGCTAGGCGGAAAGCGAGACCAATACGGACTCCAGGTTGCTCGTACGTGTTTTGTACGTCACTGGTTCGATCGATAATTCGCTGCTCTGTGATTGGCGAAATCGTTGCGATATACAATAAACGGGGCACACAGGTCCACAAGTTATAACATATGCTAAATACTAAACACAGAAATTAACATGATTATAAGTTAGTTAAAACGTGGGTGAATGTTAGATTCGAATTTCGTAGGTCGATTAACAAATGTTAATAAACTAAAAGCTGACTATCAAGCTAAATTCGTGACCCCAGATATATCAAAGTTGTCTTTCAGTCATATTTTTAAATATTAGAACAAATGCATTTCGCCCAAGTTTTTAAACAATTATTTTGTCGAAATGATTTTTAAAGATATATTTTTCTCTAAATTTCTTTTAAGTCATATTGTATGATAGTAGGAGTTTCAATTGATGGAATGGTGTTATGAAAACTTTTAATTATGTGTTAAGTCGTTTGTTACTTGTTGAAGTGGAGAATTTTATATATGCGTAAGTAAATTTTCCATGAACTTGTGTCGTCTGCTTATTTGGATCGTTTATCCAACAACCGTTATGTTGAACAGTCTAGTTGACTAGGAATACTCTTCTTATGATAAAGAAATAAGATACACGTGGCTAGAGGCAATGGTAAAATATTTTATGATTTCTTTAACGTGTAGCGTGGTGTCGAGTTGAGGTTACTTATGAACACCGCTACAAAGAAACACGTTTCAAGTAGATCAGAAGGCGTAGGTTGAACGTAACCAAATAAATCCATAAAATCCCCGAGAAGCCAAATATCAGAAGGCAATTAATGGACCAAATCGAGATATATTCGCTGGCGATCTCGTGGTATCGAAAGGATACCGAGATCGTGCCAGGATACAAGCTTGGTTACAGAACGTACCCGAATTCGCGCGAAGTCACAATCAAAGTGTAAGTATATGAATGGAAGCACAATATAGCTGTCATTAGCACAGTCAAACAAAAGCACATTAAAACAAGCACTGGTACAGTTGGTTATAATAATAATTGTTTTTATTAAACCAGTCGTGTTCTCGTGATAAATGTGAGTCACTACAAACTGATCACCTAATGGTTTATTTACACCGGTTTCAAGAGTAATTTCTATTTTCATTCAACTCATTTACCATGTATACGGATTTGTACACCAGGGTTCGAGCCACATTATATGTATAAGAGCTAGTTATATTACTCGGTCCCTCAAACAGGATTAGTTGGGGCGGAGTTCGCACCTGAGATTTAGTGACTAGAAGTCAAACCCCTTAACATTTGCATCACTACACCACCTTCAGAAGTAAAAGATGGAATAAATTACCTAAGAATCAATAGTCTTAATTCCGATTTATATAAGTGTTTTTTCATAACATATCCAGTTTATTTTTTAAGAAGGTCATTCGTAACTGATGAAAAGCTATATTAGAGGACAATAAACAAAATTACCAACTAAGCACAAACTATGTGGTATCAGCGAGATGTGAGAAACCTCATCAATGAATCAGTATGGCTATTACCAGTTCACTAAGATAAACGTTACATCTGTTGAAAGTAGACATAAGAATACTAAACAAATTTGATCGAAGGAGTTTGTCAGATGCTTTTCTTAGAAATGTGAGGGAATATTGTGGTGTTCGAATGAACTAATGATACATTTGTACTTGTTGGATGCTTGATTTCGAATTCTAAATATAGTACATTCGTTTGTGGTTATATAGTACTTCTTGATCCAATTACGTTATTTCTGGGATTCTTAGTTCATACTATAATTCAAATACTTCTAATTATCTTATTGGCGTCACGATTGAGCCTGTGATGGAACAGTTTGACATATATCCAGATTTCGATGCTTTCCAGGATTACTTTGAAAGGTTCGAAATCTGGGCTTTGACTAGGGAGGGTGATGAGGATATTAATATTGTAGCACATTTCCTCACATTCATCGGAAAAGAAGCTTACAGCTAATTAAAACTTTGGATTTACCGGAAAAGCCCATTTCGCTTTCTTATACAACTCTCAAGGAACTTCTGCTAGACTATGTTCAGTATACAAAGTTCGAATGTGGTAAAAGGGGAAGATTTCGTAAAACGATTCATGAGGATATAAAAAATTCCACTACATTACGTCACTCCAACCCAGTGCATACTCAAGGTTATGCAGATAATTCATTGAGGAGTTGCGATGCATTTCACGAAGATGGGCACAAGTTTGGTCAATGTTTGTCTGTGGCACGTTCCACTCTTTTAATTCACGTAAATTTCGTAATTCTGAGTGCTTTAAATGTTGTAACATTGGACACATTCAGTCAGTTTGTAATATTACCGTACATCTTGATGAAACTAATATTAAGTCTTGTAATTCTGATTCTGTTAAGTCCAGTGTTCCTAATGATCATTCATCCTTATCAACGATTTCAAAAGACAGTGTAGAGTCATGTCGCATTTCGGAATTAAGTAAAACTCAGAATCCTTGTGAGACAACAGTTTCTAATCAATCAACATGTCATATTTCTCATGTTACTGTGCCAGATATGATTTTTCTAAATGACTCACTTATTTTTGACGAAATTCCTTGCAAATCTGAGGAAAATATGTTGAATGAACCTAGTCCTGATCTAAAACCTGTTGAGTTTTGATAGATGCTGATTTTTCTAATGATCCTTTACTCTGCAGTGACATTCTTGATGAATTCGAGGAAACTATTTCAGAAGAATCAAGTCTTGATGTCATACCAAATATTATTTGTCCTCATAATGCATGTGTTTCTTGTAGAAACTTGTTCAATGAGAAGCACAAGTACTAAATGACCTCGATTTTGATTACAATTCGGATGACTTCATATCAACTGCTGTTTATCCTTACCACGAAGTCACTTTTAATGTTTACTCTAGCTAATGTGAGAAATATGTTTTAAATGGAGCCACATCATTCATGAATTGAGGATATAAAGATCCAAAATTATTTCGTGGTGGAGGATAGTGTTGGGAGATCTGTGCTTTACATTCTAGGTAGTGGTTTCGGTACACAACCGAGACGGTGATTGTATACGATTCCAGGAACCGAGTGTCTGTTCCGACTTCGGTTGTTAATTCCAATACTAATGAGTGCATTCTAGATAATAAAGTTTTTATCCAATACAATGTCGGACAGACCCAGGATGAACTTGTAGTGGCATTGGACAATAGCCACACAATCCACAAAGCTGTGAACACGAGACTACTCAGAAAATAGATATTCAATATTTAACGCGGAGAAATACCTAACAATGGAGAAAGCGCGAACAAGGAATTGAATGGACTGGAGTTGATCGAGTGGCATGGCTCGGCCATGCAGGCGTGGTCTCTGCTGAATGTTACCTTATATCTCCTATTCATATTAAATATATTGTTCTTTCTCTAGCCTAACCTTGTTCTACATCATGTATTGGTAATTGATACGATACAGTGAGTTGGTGTAGTCGATGGTGTGACTTCCACGTAAGATCTTATAGATTAGGCAGTTATATCATGACAAATCTACAAATTTAGGATTAGGTCTATTATTGGAGCAATACTAATATCATGAATGACCATAGTTTTACAAACTAAAGAAGAAGACGTACCATTGATTACAGACACTTAGACTCCAATTTAAGCTGTGGCGGATGTGGTGTTTGAATGAACTAATGATACATTTGTATTTGTTGAATGCTTAGTTTCGAATTCCAAATACAATATATTCGTTCGTGCTTATCGAGTACTTCTTGATCCAATTGTGTTATTTCTGGTATTCTCAGTTCGTACTATAATTCAAGTACTCCTAATCATCATAATTAGGTATATATGTAGTGTCATACCTCCAAAATATATTGAGAAAAACGTTGCCTTGATACATAAATCCCTTTTCTTAGTGGAAATTATTACTTCTCATTTTTCTTAATGTAACTTTCATTAAGTCATGAGAGGTTGCCTTTTTAGTGTAATTGTTCAGTTTAGCTTGTGATAAGATTTCTCGTTAGGAAGCGAAACCACTTCAAGACTACAAACTTGAGTCAAATAGATATTTGGAACGGGAAAGTAATATGAATACCATTGATTAGTTACATCCCCCTAGACCATAAGGATCTTTAAGAAAAGAGAATGTTCTGCCGTACAGACATGGGTGGATTGGGGTTGTCTCTTTACCATCATGTTTGCTGACCAAAAACATCACCCTCCCTCATTTCGTGATGTTAGGCTTTCTTACGTTTATGGTATGTATGAATATTGCTTAAACCTAAGCTCTGTGTTTCATATCTTGTTGGAATACGCTGTCTATCCTAGTTGTATGTTACGAGCGAATCAAACGGCTGAGGCTTCTATATTATTGGTTGGATATCCACTTGTTATTTCACACTGCTATGAAGCTAATTAGTGTTATAAATTATAACATACTATCCGGATGATATGTATCTTAGAAGATAGGAATAGATCGCTGACCATAAAATATAAACAAAAACGAGTAAAGGGCTGCAAAATCTATGAGAAGAACGACAATCAAGTGGGAAAACAAAACATATGTATGCTTATAAATTAAAGCTAGTAGTTTTTTCAAGATGATAGAACGTGAACTAGAAGGAACTCACAATATTTCAGGGTTATAAGATTTTCTTGTAATCAACCATAGTTGAACAGCTTCCACGAGATTAGAAAGTTACCTGTTTACTTGATTTAAAAATTAGGAAAAAGACATCGTCTTTTGAACAAGGTGATTTTATCACAGTTACAGATAGGTAATGGCAACCTGTTGCAAAGTAAAATACACTACAAAGTAAAAGGACATACAACGCATTGTTTTTTGTTGTTTTACAGTCAGTGATGTAGGAGAGGTGCTTACATCTGTCTATGTACTCGAGAGCGGAGTCACATCCTTATAGTCGACATGTAAAGCGTTTTTGAATATCTATACTTATATTGTCTGTGGCATTCGTGTTTGGTGAGATAAATAAGGACCACTCAAAGGAAGTTCGTATATATATTTTGAAAAAGGTGACCTTAGCCACTGTTATGAAGAAACATTTTATTATGAAGTCCGTCAGTTGTCTAGATTTTAAGATGGCAGATGAGTCATATTCTTGCAATTTTAGGCTTCCTATGTAATTAATTCCTAGATCGTGCATTGGTTTGAGTGTCTGAATTGTAAATTTATTTAAGTGAAGTATTAGTTCATAACTCCGCCTGTAGCTCTTATAGGGTTGCTGCCGGTCCCAAGCCCGGGCAAAGGAGGGGGGTTGGGCATGGGGTTAGCGTCCCCATCCCGTAGAAAACTAACTCGCTAAAAAACGCTTACCAGAAAAAATAATCCAAACCATTTTAACTCTGCCCTGGGAGTTAGAAGATCTTCATTTAGAAGAATTATGACGCTTCATGGCGAAAGCCGAGTTCCTTCGGAAGCCACGAGGCCGATGCCCCTTCTAACAACCAGAGCGAAAATTTCTATAGGTACATGGAACGTTCGAACAATGTGGGAAACCGGGAAGACCAGTCAAATATCAATGGAAATGAGGAGATACAACTTAGCAGTACTGGGAATCAGCGAAACCCACTGGACCCAAGCTGGACAGAAAAGGCTAGCTACGGGAGAGATGCTGCTATACTCCGGTCACGAAGAAGACAATGCTCCACACACTCAGGGAGTCGCTCTTATGCTGTCCAAAGTAGCACGAAATGCACTTGTAGGATGGGAATCTCACGGATTCAGAATCATCAAAGCATCATTCAAAACAAAGAAGGAGGGGATCTTAATGAATATTATCCAATGTTATGCACCCACCAATGATAGCAACGACGAAATTAAAGATCAGTTCTACGAGCGGCTGCAGTCAATCATTGAGAAATGCTAAAGAAAGGACCTAACTATTCTGATGGGAGATCTAAATGCCAAAGTCGGAATAGACAACACTGGATATGAAGATATTATGGGACGACATGGACTGGGGGAAAAAAACGAAAATGGAGAAAGATTTGCAAATCTATGTGCATTCAACAAATTGGTCATAGGAGGCACAATATTTCCACACAAGCGTATACACAAGGCTACATGGATCTCACCGGACCACACTACAGAGAACCAAATAGATCATATTTGCATCAACAAAAAATTCCGAAGGACAATGGAAGATGTGAAAACCAGGAGAGGTGCTGACATAGCTTCAAATCACCACCTAGTTGTAGCCAATTTAAAACTGAAGCTAAAAAAGAACTGGACAAGTGGACAAACAGCAATACAAAGGTTCAATACAGCATTCCTTCGGGATACTGACAAACTCAATGAATTCAAGATAGCTCTCAACAACAGGTTCCAAGCCTTACAAGATCTACTGAAAGAAGAAGAAACTACTATGGAGGACAACTGGAAAGGCATCAAGGAAGCATTAACTTCAACGTGTCAAGAGGTTCTCGGTCTAAAGAAATACCATCATAAGGAATGGATCTCTACAGAAACACTGGACAAGATCAAAGAAAGGAAGAACAAGAAGGCAGCGATAAACAACAGCCGAACACGAGCAGAGAAAGTCCAAGCACAAGCTGAATACATAGAAGCAAACAAACAAGTGAAGAGGAGCATTAGAGCCGACAAGAAGAAATACGTAGAAGAACTAGCAACGACGGCAGAAAAAGCTGCTAGAGAAGGAAATATGAAACAGCTTCACAATACAACGAAGAAACTAGCAGGGAAATACAGTAAACCAGAGAGGCCGGTCAAAGACAAAGAAGGCAAGCCAATCACCGAAATTCAACAACAGCGTAACAGATGGGTAGAATACTTCGAGGAACTCCTGAATAGGCCGGCTCCAATGAATCCACCGGACATCGAAGCAGCACACATAGATCTTCCTATAGATGTCAATCCACCAACTACGGAAGAAATTAGAATGGCCGTCAGACAAATCAAGAACGGGAAAGCAGCAGGACCCGACAACATACCAGCTGAAGCACTGAAATCAGACATCGAAGCAACCACAAGCATGCTTTATCTTCTATTCAAAAAGATTCGGGAGGAGGAACAAGTGCCGATGGACTGAAAAAAAGGACACCTTGTCAAGATTCCAAAGAAAGGAGATCTGAGCAAATGCGAAAACTACAGAGGCATTACGCTACTGTCAATACCAGGGAAAGTCTTCAACAGAGTGTTGCTGAACCGGATGAAGGATGCAGTAGACGCCCAACTTCGAGGTCAATAAGCTGTATTCCGTAAGGATCGGTCGTGCACAGACCAAATTGCAACACTACGGATCATCGTCGAACAATCAGTTGAGTGGAACTCATCACTATACATCAACTTCATTGATTATGAAAAAGCATTCGACAGTGTAGATAGGAGGACATTATGGAAACTTCTTCGACACTACGGAGTTCCTGAGAAGATTGTCAATATTATCCGGAACTCATATGACGGACTACAGTGCAAAGTAGTGCATGGAGGACAGCTGACAGATGCATTCCAAGTAAGGACCGGAGTCAGACAAGGCTGTTTACTCTCTCCCTTCCTCTTTCTTCTGGTGGTCGACTGGATTATGAAGACCTCAACATCTGAAGGAAAACACGGAATACAATGGACAGCTCAGAACCAATTAGACGATCTGGACTTCGCAGATGACCTAGCCCTCCTATCACGTACACACGAACAGATGCAGATGAAGACAGCCAGTGTAGCAACAGTCTCTGCATCAGTAGGCCTCAGCATACACAAAGGAAAAACTAAGGTCCTCAAATTCAAAGCGGAGAACAGCAATCCAATCACACTTGATGGCGAAACTCTGGAAGATGTAGAGTCCTTCACATACCTGGGAAGCATCATCGATGAACAAGGAGGATCCGATGCAGACGTAAAGGCTAGGATCGGCAAAGCAAGGGTCGCATTCCTACAATTGAAGAACATATGGAACTCAAAACAACTTTAAACCAATATCAAAGTGAGAATCTTCAATACGAACGTCAAGGCAGTTCTACTGTATGGAGCTGAAACTTGGAGAACTACAACAACCACAATCAAGAAAGTACAAGTATTTATAAATAGCTGTCTACGCAAGATACTCAACATCCATTGGCCGGATACCATCAGCAATAGCCTTCTGTGGGAGAGAACAAACCAACTTCCAGCTGAAGAAGAAATTAGGAAAAGACGATGGAAATGGATAGGACATACATTACGCAAATCGTCGAACTGGATCACGAGGCAAGCCCTAACTTGGAATCCTGAAGGGAAGCGAAACAGAGAAAGGCCAAAGAACACATTACGTCGGATAATAGAAGCAGATATGAAGAGGATGAATTACAACTGGACGGAGCTAGAAAGGATTGCCCAGGACAGGGTTGGATGGAGAATGCTGGTGAGCGACCAATGCTCCTTCACGAGGAGTAACATGCGTAAGTAAGTAAGTAAGTACTAGTTCATAAGGGGGTTTTCTCGAAATGCATGGTTGCACATTTATTGTATTTAAATTGTAATCGGAATTTTACATTTTATGTTGTTAGGTTGTTGGGGTCACATCGAATCTGGTACACACTTTCACTTAGGGCTTCAAACTCAAAGCTGTATACTATTTTCAGGTCAACAGCGTATATGTATGGTCTCTCAAATTTTATGATGTTACATATATCGTTTATATTCATGAGAAACAATGGTTGAACTAATACACTTCCCTGGATAACTCCACTAGCTATTGATCTTGTTAATAAGAGTCATCTTACTTTACCATTTGTTTACGTCCTGTCAGGAATGAAGCAAACCATGAATATAATAGGTTGTTGATTCCGAAAGATTTTTATTCGAAGAGGAATCTTTTGTTTGGGACCGCACCAAAACCCTTCCTGAAATTTAAAAGCGAAACTGATACAAGAAGCCTGGTGTCTCGTTATAGAGTTATCTCATTCAGATAGACTACTGGATATGTGTCTCATAACGTGGACCTCAGAAACTCGTCTTGAAAGGTCATATCGAGATTATTGGCAAGCAGATATTGAGCTACTGCTGCACGAACTGCTACCTCAAACACTCTAGATACTACTGAGGAAGTGTATGTGGTGTGGTAATCTTCAACACTTGCTGTTACGTACAAGTTTTTGCTCGCTCCCGTTGTTGAAGTACGGTATATTGATCTATTTGAAATTTTCGAACCCAAATTAACAATAGAACCAAACTCCAGTTTAGATAACAAAGCTTATTCGCAAGTTACTAATACTCGACCGAAATGTCATTCTTCAAATTTGCAGGTTCCCGGAGCAAAAACTACCAAATACCAAACCAATGACAAAGAGAAACCAAAATGTCCGACAAGAATGACATAAACAAACAAGTTCAAAGGTTAAGTGAAAGAAATACATCTGTAGCGTGGCGTCGAGTTGAGGTTAACTATGAACACCGCTACAAAGAAACACGCGCCTAATAAATCAGAAGGGGAAGGTTGGACGTAACCAAATAGATCCATAAGATCCTCGAGAAGCCAAATATCAGAAGGCAATTAATGGACCAAATCGAGATATATACGCTGGCGATCTCGTGGTATCGAAAGGATACCGAGATCGTGCCAGGATATAAGCTTGGTTACAGAACGTAACCGAATTCGCGCGAAGTCACAATCAAAGTGTAAGTATATGAATGGAAGCACAATATAGCTGTCATTAGCACAGTCAAACAAAAGCACATTAAAACAAGCACTGGTACAGTTGGTTATAATAATGACTGTTTTTATTAAACCAGTCGTGTTCTCGTGATAAATGGTGAGTCACTACAGGAGCTCCCCGTTAGAAAGAGTTTACACTTTCGATAAATAGCGGTTCAAATCGTGGGACTGATCGACTGACGAGCGATTGTAGGACGGAAGAATTGGCGAACAGGAAAGCGATCGTTAATCATCGAGTTGCCAACGAAGGTCGTTTTCGGAGAACGGTACCAGGAGCGATGTGCTTTATTTATTGCTTGAGTTGGCATGCTACACCAGAGTGGTTTGTATCCAGAATCTGAAGATTGCCTTCGTAGGGAATGCGGACCAGAAACGCTGCAGACATAGGACGAAACCACGTTGAGCCAAAAGACCAAAAGCGACCAAAACGACCAAGTTCGAGACCAAGCGTATGCCAAGCATACGAAACCAATATATCGACTGAGTGCGTTGCCAAGAGCATGGGTGGCCAATCCAGCTTTCGCCAAAGTTGACTGAGGTCGACGGAACCAAACGGAGATGGTCGAAGGCGTAGGCTCAAGAAACAAAAGGAAAATCAAAAAAGAGAAGAGTGTAGCATGCGTGTAGCATAGGAATAACCCTACACCGTATCGGTTGTTAACTGTGCGGCTAGTGGCGGAAACGTGCGGGCAACCGTACTCGGCGACCGGAACGTGAGACGGTAGTCTCGTTCGTATTTCGTGAGCCTGCAATCTCATCCGAGGTCAGAGGCAGCGTGGTCTGCTGATCTGGACGTGAGACTGTCGTCTCGTCCGTAGACGGTGCAGATGACGCGTGCTGTTGACCGGGACGTGAGAATGAGGTCTCAGATGAATCTAGCGTGGAATCTGAAGAAGGTTTAAGGATCCCGCTAGTAGGTTTGATAGGTCCAGCATTGAATCTCAGGTTATCAGATAAGGCACTGTCATAGACGTGTGCTGGTTTGAGACGATCAATGCTGACGATCTCGACGCGGCCATGTCGATCCACCTTGAAGGTCTTTTCGTGACGAGCGATCACGTGAAAAGAGCCTTCGTAAGGCTGTTGCCTAGGTTTGCGTACCGAATCTACTCGTATGAAAACATGTGAACAGGTAGATAACTCTCGAGGGAGAGCGACCTGTCGATGTTGTATTCGAGTTGACACCGGAGACAGCGTTCGCATGAATGCAGACAGTCGATGGACGTAGTCTGATTTACCGAAATTATGTCTGCTCCGTGGTGTGAATTCTCCGGGCAGACGCAATAACGTGCCGTATACCAGTTCAGAGGCGGAACATTGTATATCTACTTTCAAGCTCGTTCGAATACCTAAGAGGACGAGCGATAAGGTTTCGTATCAGTTGTCGTTCTCGTGTGCTCGTAGACCACTTTTAAGTTGGCAATGAA